GTCACTCAGCATTATTAAGATCGTTTGAAAATGCAAAAAAGCAAATTGTTAAATTGCTAGTCAATTATTTCGTGATATTACTGTAGTAGTTTAGTAGAGTTAGTGTTTTAAGACTAAAAAATCATTTCAGCGCGCGTTTCAAAGAATTACGTAAGTAATATATAAATTCACACACGAAATCATACAAGCATTTAAGATTCAGCTAGGCATTTATTTAATTTTTTTAAATTTGTAAGAGAAAAATTTATACTTTATCATGACATTTGCAAAAAAAAATTCATTCGAAGACAAGGCGGAAATATATAATTTACTCCACTCTGTAGAGTGCGTCAAACTATACAAATTTCTTAAAAATAAAACACGTTTTTATTTTTAGAAAGATGGATAGAGATAAGAATAGACTCAAAATCCATTGAAGCTTCGTAAAGTTCAGACTTTATTCTTGAAAACAAAATTTTTTAATGCGATCATTTTTCGCGGAGTTCCGCTTTGAATTTATGCGACATTTTGATGTAAATTTACTTATACGATAATTTTGTTGACGAGTGTATATTTAGATATTTACGAGCTATTATGATTAATTTCTTTCGTATTCTCAAAAGCGACCAATACATCTAGAGACAAAGTCAATGTCTGCTCGTCGAACTTTCATTTTTTTTGAGTTTCATTCAAAGTTCCTTATATTACTCTACTAGATGGATAGTTTCGGTTACACGTATTGATCTCATGTGGACTCAGAAAGTAGACAAGAATTAGCGATTTGTATAGCATTACTCACATATTTCGACTATTATGAATATATCATCAATTAGATAATAATGTTCTTTTCTTTATTAAATTTTTACTGATCTTTATAATTATAATGAATTTTAATTATTTAAATGCTATTTTTGTTTAACAGACAATCAATGTTCCTTTGTGATATTTTTAAGTTAATTATATTCATATGACAAATTAATTTTTATGACGTTATTGAAGCATAATAATATGAGTAAGATAAAATATTTTAGTTTACATTGTATGATTAAATATTGCGAAGGAAAAATATTGACGCGCCTGTTTGCATGTCTGACCACATTAACATCGCTACTACTCGAGAAAAGCAAAAGAGTTTTAACAAAGGAAAAAAGATCCCATGGTTCGTTTGTATAATTTTTACTCCTCTATAATTTCATGCAGCTTTGCAAATATTTGAAACAAAAGCCACGTTTTTTCGGCCCACGTATTTCAATTTTCTTTTGCATAACTTCTTGTTTCACTGTAAAATTCAATTAAGAACCTCGTATATTAAAATACCACATATTTGCATAAATTTTATTTAAAACAGAAAATATCTATTTATAACATCGTACTTGTTTTTTACCATGAAAGAAAAAACTAAAATATTAAATTTTGTTAACGAAGTGTGTCTTTATTTATTTAGTTTGCTTTGTTCAAAAGTAAAAAAAGATGTAAAGTATGTAAGAAAGCTTTAAGCACAAAAATAATATATACAGGTATAAAAAATTAATCTTGGAAATGATTGATATAGTAAAAATGAAGGTTTAAAGTACTTGTCGCTCTTCCAATAGACTTGCTTAAATGACACTCTACGTATAACATGTTACTTCAAGCGGCACATTGAAGTGACACTTCATCAACATGCAAGTAAACAAGCAAGTTTACAGTAAATTTCAATGACAGCAACAACAAGATATCGATGTTATGCGCATGTTCTTTTGTTATAACCGAATATGATTAAAAGTTTCACAATAACTTTGTAAATAAGAAAGAGATGAAAGTGGAGGCAATGCACACATGTAAATTTGCACTTTCACCTGAAACATTGGACTTATTTCTGAATGGCGGGCGCGTTCCGTCGGGAGTGTATTATCTTCGCGTCTGAAGCATGAACAATTCATTCCAATGGAATTTAATTCTCTCGCCATTCTCTAACGCCCACGCACTCCTTTTCACAAATAAAACCCTGTTTCTCTCTTTCAAGAACAAGAAGTTGAAAATTGTGAGTGGCATGGTATCATTTTCTTTATAATCTTGCATCACTGCGCTTCTAATTCCATTGCATTAAGCGTAAAGTGCAACGACATCAAGGGTCATGAGGGCATTAACCAAACGTTGAACCGAAGGAGATCAGTGTAGGATTAATTTCTTAAGCAACAATACTTAAAATTCCTGTATTAATTAAAATAAATTTAACTAAAAAGTACGAAGTTATTTAAAACTGTAACAAAATATATGAGACAATCAAATAGATCGCTTCATCGACGTAGTTTTATACGGCGTTACATTTGTATTATATAGTACATAAAATATCAATAATTCTTCAAATAATCTCCTAATAATAGTAATCTGCGTATTTTTTCAGAAGACGTTATGTGGATTTAAGACAACTGAGAAGACAAAAATATAATGCGTTTCTTTAAATAAAAAGCCATTTTACGTCATAACGCGATATAGTAAGTAATACATAATTTTCCAATACCAGATAATTCGATCATTCATCGCGAAACATTGAATTGTTGTGAGACGAATACTGGAATAATCTAAATTCCGCTCTTTATACTTATTCAATTGATTCATATGTAAATAATTTCAGCTACAAATGACAATTTATCTTTTCAAAGAACCCCAAATTATTAATTTAATTTTACCTAATAATTTTTACATTTATCTAATAATAAAGTCTCTTAGTTGTAAATTAGTATTATAATTGGACATATTATCTTGAAAAATTATAAGAGCAAATTTTTAAAACAAACAATTTCAGAGTATATATACGTATATATGTGTTACGTAACAATTTTTGGAATGCGAATAAAAAAATAATGCAACAGATACTCAATTCAATGCTAAAAATTTTATAGTGTGTTAGTGCATATGGCGAGAGTGTCCTAACAGATTGACAACAGATTGCGAAAGTGGTTGTTTCAGAGATATAACTTTGAAGAATGAAATGTAAATATATAGGGACAAATCGTCGTGTTGACTTCAGCGACGTCTTAAAATTATTGATGGGCCGAAATCAATATTCCACAACAAGAAAATTACAGAAATAGATGCCAAATGTATCATCCACTATATAACATCACTAGAGGATTTGGTTAGATTTGGTGAGTGAGTGCATGCATGCGAGTGCGTCTTAGCATTTTATAAGCAAGTTTGACGAAATAGGATCAGCGAGAGGCTCAATTGTGAGCTAATTAGCTTGTCAGAAGCGGGATATAAGTGAGCAATTGGAGGAGAGGCTTTTGGTGCATTAGAAAGTATCGAGCGTGATACATCGAGATGAGGCAGATTAGAATGTGGAAAAATGGCGCGTAAAAGCGGCGGAAAGAAGGAGAGATGACAGGCGTGGGTAAGGATAGAGTAGACAACAGTAGCGTTTATTAATAGGGGATAAATCATAGGTAGATTCGAAAAAAGC